TAATTGCACATACTTTAACAATAAACTTAATTTATAAATACTTTAAAAATATTTATATTTTTCCACTCACAGAACTATGTACGCCAAAATCAATTCGATTGATACGCTGTCCCGATATCCGTATCGCCGCCTGAAATATAATATAATTTTTAAATCAACAATTAACTAATTTCAATAATTAAATAGGCGATACCTAAACATAATTATTTCACGTTTAGGCGATTTTTAACGTCTCTTTAATTACTAAAATTAATTTTTCTTTCATTTTATTCAATTTCATAGTTTATTACACTTAACCCGTTCAATAAAATTAAATTTAACCTAACAATCTAACAACTACAAAATCAAACATAACTTAATAATAAGTAACTTTTTACTTACCTTTCAAAATTGAGAAATTCAAGACTAATAGGATAGAGCACTTAATTCCTAACGCATTCACAAAATTTTCCCTTTTTTTTCCTTCTTCTTTTTCTTCCTCTTTTTCTTTTTTTTTTCTCTTTTTCCTCTCTCTTTTTCTCTCTTTTTCTTCTCTGGTCCGTTCTTTTGTGTGTGTTATGAATTTGGTTTGGATTTGTATTAATTTCCACCGCCTGCCACTTTTTTTTGTCTTTTGTTCCTTTTTTTTTTAACTTTGACTTTTCTTTTTGAATTGACTAGAGTATTACAGAAAGTGCTATCAAAAATTAGTGTTGAGCTGATAAGTGGAAACAAAGATGGCAATTTAATAGAAAGTGCTATCAAAAATTAAATATTTAAGTATTTGCTTGTTGAAAATATTTAAATGTCATGTTAGTTGCAATATTAGTGTAATGAAATAGATATTCTGTGATATCATTGAAGTCTTTGCAAATTGGTACTATTTTGTAATTTGCATTAAATGGAATATGGTAGAGTAATAAAAGATCGCGATTTTTTATTGTAACTGATATATGGTAATGTTTTGCATGTTTTTCCATTATGTAAATTGCATTTACTTTGTTGAGATTGTGATATTTGATATGTTAGTTGTTGAATTTTCCAGCATGGCACCATGAAGTATATATAGTTCTGAAAATTGCATCCTGCCGTTTATGTAATTTTGAAAATGTGACCTATTTTTTTTCTATTTTTGAAAATGAATTGTACTACATATCATTTAACATTATTGTAAAATTCTTATATTTGTTCATTGATTAATTAACATGATCATTTTGCGTCTTTTATTGTAGAAATGGAGCACTCATTTTAGTATGTGATTTCTTTATTTTAGAAATGGAACACTCATTCGAGTTTGTGATTCCCGCTGAAGATAAAATTAAAGGTAGACCTTCAAAAATGCACTACCTTCATAGACTTACTATATTTAAGCAATATTAGATGATATTTGGGGGAGAAAAGCTTTTGGCCGCACAATTGAATGATGAGCAGAGATAAGCAACGGACATGTCAGTTGGTAGCTTGCAGTTATCTCTTGTCGATCAATGAGATTACGGAATATACACTACCAACTTTATAGAACTTTTGTCAGCCGGATTAGACATAAAACTTATAGCCGATAATAAGATTGAATAATTGTTTCTTTGTATATTTTTCAATTTTCTGTGATCAGATGATATAGGACTTAGACGCTAATTTTGTTAGATGGTAGTATTTTGATTAGTTGTTTACTTTTGTTTACTTTTGCTGTAATGAAATAAGGGCGTTTTGAAATTTTGATTCATTCATTTACTAAAGCCTTTTAACGGTTCGTATTTGATGGCACAAGCATTAGCTTAATTTTCCAAAAAAAGGTCCATGCTAATTTTGGCATTTGATTTGAGAACATCCACATGGTCATTTTTCTCTCGTTCGTCGTTATTTGAGAATTTACTTCTGCATGAGTATGCATTTAGTCAGTAGGTAGTTGTCAGTTATCTCTTGCAATTGGTATATTCTGATGACTAGATGTATTTGGTACTTTAGTAGTAGCTTGTGCGAAGTTTAAACGGGAATAACTTGTAGGTGTTGCTTTAGAACTATTTTGCTTCATCTTATCTTATCTATGCTAAAGTTGCTATTTTTAAGAGTATTTTGTCACCTCAAATTTTAGTCTTGGGAATGCAGAAGTGATGGAAACAATAAGCATATTAGTGGGAATTTTCATTTATATTTATAGTTTGACCAATGTATCTATGATAATATATTTTGGTGGAATATATTTCGCCTTCGATGGCCGAGTTAACATAATTGTTTTCTTCATATATTTTTCAAATTTATGTAGTCGAAAGATATAGGACTTAGATGCTAATTTTATCTAGATAGGAACGTTTTATATGATTTAGTTGGAAAACAAGTGCATGAATGCTGATTTTGTTTAGTTAGTATTGATTTTTATGATTGATTACGGAACAGGTGTATGGATGTTGACTAGTGTAGCTATGAAATTTTGCTTTTCCATTGAATGAATGTTTTATTCAAACATTAAGTAGTAGAGTTGAAACAGAACTGCAGTTTTTATGATAGTTTATATATTTATGCAATGGAAAAATAGATTATATTATTAACTATGCAAATTTATCTAGTCTGGAAAAACAACAGTTATACATTAAAAATGACAACATGCTATTTTGGGTCATGATGCCTCGATCTCACTAAGAAACAAGTGTTGGAATGACATGTGATATTGGGTAACAGGATCTCAATTTCACTTGATCATATTGAACGATTACACGAGCTATATTTTTGTATACTCTACCCCTTAAATGGCACCCTTACGTGTAAAATGATAACATGTGGTTTTGGTCAAGGGATCTCAAATTCACTCAAAAACTAGTAAAATAGTGTTTTGAACATCATATAAACTTGTACATGTTGAACAATTACATGTTTTTCTGTTTTCTAAACCTTATACCCTAAAACGTAAACCCTGTACCCTAAACCCCAAATGGCAACCCTCCATTTAAAATGATCAGACGCCATTTGGCCTCACGGGGTATGAATTTCCCCCACTAAAATTACAAAAGCCAAAACGTTTGAAATGAATGAATGATTAGTGGTGAACACGTTGTGGGGCCGACAGGCAACTTAAAATAAGACTTTCTTGTATGTATAAAGAAGATTCTGGTTTAGATTGAAATTTAGAGATAAAAGTTCAACATTGGATGGATATAACTTCCTTGACTTATAAATGAATAGTTCTATTTAACAGCATTAAAGTTCAAATATCAATTTAAGTGATACTATTGTTCATAAATTAAGGTACCTTGTTTGGACTCAATTAAATTTAAAATGCATTTTTCTCTTTTTTTTTTTTCAAATACAAATTATTCAATAAAATAATATTACATGTAAATTCAAAAAATTTCCTTCTTTTTTAACCACACGTTCTTTAAAAATATTATTTGAAAATATAATTATCCCAAAAATTTAATTTTAATTTACGCCAAACAAGGACTAAATGAGTCATTTAGGATCCGTTTAATATGACTTTTGCTTTCTATAAAAGAAATTTTTGGAGAAAATATCTTAATTTTTGTTTGAAAACTAAATTCTAAAAGAACTTCCTATTTTGAAATTACTTTTAGAAATAGATGCATTTGCTCAATTTTATTCAAAAGTTTTGAGTGTCCCTCAAATTTCCTATCGTACACAAAAATCTTACAGATTATAAAAATATATTCCAAACGTTAAACTTTTGAGTTTGCATCATTCTCCTACATGCAGTGGCGAGCGCAAACACTTTTAATTAAGGACACATTCAAATTTGGAAATATATATATATATATATACCCCATGTAAATTTACATCCTAGAATTTACATGGAGTACGATTTTTCTGATGTAAAATTTTGAAATAAAAAATGTCATATTTCATGTAAAATTTCCAAATAAAATGATGTAAATTATTTTGAGAAAATTATTTGTGTAAAAATAATAAATATTAATAAAATGATTGAAAATTTTTAAAGAAAAGACAAGTTCGAATTTTTTGAAAATGCATGTTTGACACATTTTTAACGATTTTTTATATATGTTTGAACCATTCGATATATCTAAGAT